TTGATGTCCTAGAACGCAAGATGTATTCTTCTTTTGCTTTGGAACTCAGGATCGCTAGCTACCAGATTATTATGGCTGGATACCAGCGTTTTCTTTGGAAGAGAATGCTGCCTTACTTGGAACTGCTACTGGAGGATAAACAACCCCTTGCTAAGCAGTTGCAAACTGAGGCACTCAAGTTATCCAAACAACAAATCAGTGCTGGTTGCCATGCTGCAAACATACTTGGCTTAGATCGATGGCCTTACTGGTGGAAACAAGATTTAAGGTGAGGACTGGCCTTTTGAAGGCACTACCTTGTTCTCCAAGAAAACAGACAAGACACCCAGATTAAAAAAAAAGAACAATGGCTAAGTCCCACTCTAGGGCTACTTTGCCATACTTCGCCAACCTTGGCATCCCTACCAAAGAAACTATCCTTTAAGGTCCCAGTATTCTACTCTAACCTGTTCCTGGTAGAGAAAAAGGATGGCGGGCTTAGGCCTATCCTGGATCTGAGGAGGATAAATATGTTCCTTTCTAATTCAAAGTTCTGCATGATTCATTGCCCTCAGTTTTGCAGTTATTAAAATTGGATTTGTGGTTCATTGTTCTTGCTCTGAAAGATTCCTACTTTCATATCTCCACTCACAAACAGCACCGCAAGTAGCTAGGTTTTCACTGCAGTTCCCAGGTTTTCCAGTATACTGTTTTGGCCTTTGAGTTGGTCACATCCCCCATGGTCTTTACGAATGATGATTGGCTTCTAGTGGCACGCTCTAGGGAAGAGCTCCTGGCACATAACTCCATGGTGTTAGCGATTTGTCAATGCCTAGGTCTCCTTGTTAATTGGGAGAAATCTAGAGTGATTCCCTCTCAGAGGGTGCAGTTTATTGGGGCCATCCTCAAATCTGCAGCGGGCAATGGATTCTTGTCATATGATATTCAGCCCCTCACTGCCTTGGCTAAGCACTTCACTATTAACCATTTCCAAACAGTGGGTAATATCTTATGCCTTTTGGGCCTAAAGCTTCTACTATGGCTATGTTACCCTGTTCTTGATGAACAGCAATGCTGTTCTTTATGCATGAATGGTCTATCGGGGACACCTACCTGGAGCCAGTGTTTTCCCGTTAGGGGTTCCCAGACGTAGACCTATTTGCTACAAGGGAAAATTCCAAAGCACCCAGGTTTTGTTCCAGGGCAGGAAGAGATTCGGGTTCAGTTGAGGACGCTTTCCAGATCCCTTGGTAAGGGGCCCTGTTTCATGCTTTCCCTCCATTTATTCTACTTATCAGAGTAATAGAGAATATCAGTAGAAAGGGTACAAACATAATAGCCGCTTTCTGTCCTTGCCAGGTTTGGTTCCCAGCCCTAGTGGACATGGCTCAGGGTCAGTTCCTCCAGTTTCTGAACGTCTCAGATCTGGTGAGTGTTGGCTAAGTACTACACCAATGATGCCAGTCACCTGAGCTTGACTGCATAGAGGCTCCAGATCAAGATCTGATATTTTCACAGGAGGTCAATGAGATCTTTCTACATTGCTATAGATTTGTTAATCAGCAACATGGTCCTCAGCTGACATGTTCGTGTATCACTGTGCCCTTGCTTTGCATGCGAGAAGAATGGTGCAAATGGGCAAAGCAGTTCTAGAGTCCTTATTCAAGTGACAAGAGCATTTCCCGCCTCCTGGTGAGTAGCTTGTTAGAATCCCCATGTGGGACTGAACAGAAAATTGATGATGAAAACAGAGTTGCACTTGCCTGTAACTGTTGTTCATCAAGGATCTTCTGTGCAGGCACACATACCCTCCCTCTGGCCTCACTGCATGCTCTCTCTTGACTTCAGTGATGCTTGAGATACTGAGGGTTGGGGGCACTGGTGCTCTGAAGCACATGACTGTTTGGGTAGGAACGATCTCTTCTGGCTTCAGCTCACAGCACCCCTAGAGGCTTTTAGCCATAAAAATATCTCCGTGGCAGGCCTGCTCATGTGCAGTCCCCTTGTGTGCCTGCTTAGAAGATCGTCAATGAGCAACAATTATAGGTAAGTGCAAGCCTGTTTTCTTTTTTAAATTCACTGTAAAAAAGAATGTTGGACTTATAATGAAAATGCCTTCTACTCTGAGGCAGAGAGAACATCTTTTTATGGGAATATGGTAAAATCAGTGTTTCTTTCTCTAAGGGCAAGGGCATCTTAGCATGAGATATCCAAAAGCAGTATTTTCCATGTCTGGTGGGAATTGCTAACATCCTGTTTGTAATTGTAATATCTGTGGTCAAAAGCTGCATCATCTAGTTTACAGTGTCTTACAAATGTAGAAGCTGATGTCCATGTGGATGCCTTGTATATTTCCTTTACTGATGAGTTGGCATTGAATGCTGCTGTCATGGAGTGGGTTGTGATTCACTGTGGTACAGGATGTCTTTGTGTCTGGTATGCAATAATGATGCACTGTCTGAGCCATCTGCTCAGCTTTGACTTGGATGACTTCTTACCCAACATCAGAAGATGAAAAGATACACATAAATAATCAGATTGCCTAGTAGACTCCGTTCTCCTCTGACCTATGAAGGTCCTCCAAAAATCCAGTATATTCCAGATTTTTCTGTGGCGTGACTATGTTTAGGGCAGAAGGATGGAAGGTATACTTCCTGGAAGTGGTGGAAGTGAAGTGAAAGTTTACTTCAGGTATTAATGTGAGGTAATTTCTAAAGATGACCTTGTCCTAACAGACAGGGTTTCTAATTCTGAGACCCTAAATGCTGAAGCCACCACTGTCATGAATAACACTAGGAGTGTTATGAATTTCAGAGAAACATCTCTGGTTTAAATGGAGGCTCAGAGACAGCTAATATGACTGTGTGGAGCCACCATGATGGAAACTGGTTTACTGGGAAGATAATCTGAGACACTCATATGCCCCTTAGAAAATATGTGGGTATCTGGATAGGGGAACATCATTTGTATGTTGAAGAATGTGGGATAACATGGCCACCAGTATGAGTAAGTATTGGTCATAGTTGGTGGTCTGAACTGCCCTTGGGAGGCAAAGATCATGCTGAGTCAATGTTGAAAAGAGATCTGATACCCTTCTCTTACACCACCAAGTGTTAACTTGGAGAAACGACAGCTGAGGGGTGACATGACTGAGGTTTACAAGATTATGCATGGGACAGAGCAGGTAGAGAAAGAAGTACTTTTCTCCCTTTCTCACAATACAAGAACTCGTGGGCACTCAACGAAATTGATGAGCAGTCAGGTTAGAACAGATAAAGGGAAGTACTTCTTCACCCAAAGAGTGTATAACGCATGGAATTCACTGCCACAGAAGGAGGAGGTGGCTACAAGCATGGACGGCTTCCAGAGGGAATTAGATAAACATATGGAGCCGAGGTCCATCAGTGGCTATTAGCCACAAGGTATAGATAGGAACTTTCAGTCTCGGGCAAGTGATGCACTGTATTATTGGTGCGGGGGGGGGGCAGTGGGAGGGCTTCTAGTGTCCTGGCTCCTGATGACACCTTGTATTTTTGGCCACTATGTGACAGTGTTGGACTGGATGAGCCATTGGCCTGATCCAACACTGGCTTCTCTTGTGTTCTCATGTTCAATACGTTCCCATACAGAAACTGGTGCCAGGCCCATTCCTATGGGGTGGAGAGAAGACTCCAGCTATGTTAAATCTGGCTTCAGTTGTCTGTTTGGAAATTGAGCAGCAAAGTCTCTTAGAGCTAGATTATTCAGATCAGGCACCCTAGAACATGCTGTCCTCCAGGAAATCCTTAATTTACAGAAGGTATGATACTTCAGGGAAAGATGAAGGAACCCTGGGGGGAAAAACTTTTTCTCTGTTTCGTTTGCAATTGTGAGTTTCCTCCTCCACTTTGTTTGGCTCCTCTGTTAGTTTTAGGGCTGTAATGGCTTTGGCCTGATTAAACAGGCATTTGGACTGTTTTGGCTCCACCACTTTATCCTCAGAAGTTTCTCCCCTTCTGTGTCTGAAAAGGGCTTTTAGAATCCAGGAGTGATTGCCCTGTTGGGATCAGTGTCTCTTCTGGCAGCATGGTGGCACTATGTTGTGTGCAACTTTATTAAGTAGTGCACAACATAGTGCCTCCATGCTACTCGATTGAGCAGCCTGTGGCTACTATTATGTCCTGCCTGAATTGTGGAGGAGGAGGTAGGAGGAAGAATTAAGCAACTCTGATATGACCCTTTTGCGGTTTCTGAACAAATTGTTGTTTTGTAAAAGCATTGAATTTTTCAGCCATCATTCACCTCAGCCATCCAGCCACTTCTGGGGAGACTTTGGAGTGGTGCCGTGTGCTCTGCAAACGTACCAAGTTTATTCCATGTTGGAGACATACCAGGCTGAACCAAAGCAGCGACCATGTCAGGGGTCTCCATCACTGCACGAGAAACTATCCCTATCCAGGAATTCTGAACAGATTGCACCAGCTCTGGTGGGGAGGGGGGGCGCAATCCAGTTGTTCGTGATGAAGAGCAGTAAAGGATCTGTTTCCACAGAGATACCTATCCCAACCAGTGTCTCAGATGGTACACCTATTCATTGCCTCAGCTGGAGCAGGCGGAGCACTACAGAAGTATATTTTTTTTAAAAGGTGAATAGAGGTCATGGTCAAGAAAAAGGACCAGGAATAAGGAAGGGGAAAAGACTGTCACAGGGTGATAAAATAGAGGAGAGATGCTACATTGCAAGCCTGTACTCCTTTCTTAGGCAGAAAACGATTGTGGAATCAGGTGACCCTCACCCCACCTAAGAAGACAGGACATTTCAAATTAAGGTTTGCCTCCTTGACTGATCATTGGATGTCACCTATGCTAAATGTATGCCCTAATTACTGTTGTTACTATTGCTATCTTAGAGAAGTAGGGAACTTGTATATCTGTGTTGTAGTCAGACTGGTGTAATCTAAATAATATTTAAAAGAATTTTAAGAGACTGTTAATCTACATTCAATTTAAAACCTGAAGGTTATAATTACTTTCACTTTCAGTGTTCCGTTCAAGAGTTCTATCTGGTAGTCAGCACTCTGTCTCAGTTGGAAGCTGCTATCACAGCACTGATTCCAGCAATACGTTCTCAGGTGAAAGCATCTTTGTTGCAGAACAATCTCTTGGAAATTCCAGAATTGCTGTGCTCAATGAAAAATTATCGAAGTATGCTTAATGAAGAAGCAGCAAAGTAAGTAAACAGAACACATGATCAATTACTTAGTACTCTACACAAATGTGTGAAAATTCGGTTTTTAGTGTTTCCTACAGGTAGAATTTTATTTTTTTGGGAAAAACCTTTGGAAACTTTCAACTTACAAATGATTTCCTTTTTTAAAAACTGGTTGTGTTCAGGGGATCTCATCCAGAGTCAGTTGGGGAGTGGAGAGGGGAATAGGTTACCTAAAATTAATCTTTGTGGCTTCTGTGCAGTCCCACATAGGACCACTCTTGTGCAGATCTCTTACCAAAGCTCTCTAGAATATTTGGAACGGTTAGCACCCTCCCCTCACGGGCCGGCTCCTTCCCACACAGCCAACACATGACAGGGTGAGCACTCCTTCCCTCAGATTGGACGTTTTCACTCTGTTCTGATACTCACAGGTTCTCCGGTGGTCCTGAGAGTGGGGCGGTCCTCACAAGTGGGTAGCTCCTCCCTCCTCCGGAAGCAGGGTTGATTGGCAGAATTTGATCCCGGAGAGGAGGGGCTTGCCCACAGATCGTCAGTCTTTTCAGCCCTGCTGAAGGAGCAGGACGTTGGCGGCAGCGCTCTAGAGGGCGCCGAAGATCCACGGAGGCCTTCAGTCGGAAGGCAGGAAAGGCGATTGCGAGGGCGGGGAAGTGACTCTCCACCCCACCACCCCTCCGCTTCGCAGCAGAACAACTGGGAGCGAGTTCAGCCGACGGCGATTGGGATTCCCAAAAGCCAAGGCACAGCTGCAGTCTCCCGACGGGGTTTTAAAGCCTTGGGCGAATAACACACACCCCCCACATACCTTAAGGGGACGGTTGAGACAGCAGCAGCCTACTCGACTGAGTCAACTCTAGTCGACGCTCCAGTAGGCTTGGAAGGAGCAGCCTCCACGCAGCGGAGGACCAGCTCTTTCTACTCTCCTGTCTGCAGAGCCTCGGTAAGCCGTGGGTGAAGTGGATAAGGGGGGGTTTTCCCTACGGTTTTTTGTGGCCGTGGAGAGAGATATGCCAGATCCCTTGCCTTAAGAGATAGCCATTAGGCCCTTGTTGTTTTTTGTCTCTTGCAGAGAGCTGCTTTCACTTTCCCTTGGGAAGGTTTTCTGGCGGGAAAATGGCAATGAAAGTGGGCCCCTCCACCTCACTAGAGCCAGAGGGTGCGGTACGTGGTCTGGGCTCTGCTAGTGCTTCATCCTCTACTCTGCCTTACCCAGGCGGCAGCCAGAGTGGGGAGGAGGGGAGAAATATGGACTTAGATCCATCAGAAGATGCTGCAAAATCCTCCTTGCTCTCATGGCTAAGATCTGAGATGAGGAGGGAAATTAGGGCAGCTATGCAGGAATCCAGACTTGAGGGGGAAGGGACCTGCACTGATAGTGGAATCTCTCTGGGCAAAAAGCAAAGGGACAGGGAGTCTACCCCCATCCCAAAACCAAAGAAAAGAAAGAGAAAGGACTCTTCCCATAAGGAACTCAGTCCTTCCCTGGAGGATCAGTCTGAGGAATCAGAGAGCTCAGAGGCTTCTTCCTCCAAGGAGGAAGGAGAATTATCCGATGAAGAACAGCAGGTGGTTTCATCCTCTCAAACCAGGCTCTTTCCCCAAGAGTTATACTCTAGAATGCTCCCAAAGGTCCTTAGAGTATTGGAACTCACTTCACAACCAAAGGGTAGTGAGGAACCTGACCCAGAATTTCCTGCAGGGGCAGAAAAATCTCTCCCAAAAGCAGGAGTAAAGTCCTCAGGAGTTCCACTCCCAGCTGCCTTTTACAGTCTAATGAAGGCAGAGTGGGAGACACCAACTAGAGCCAGAGCCAATCACCCTGTCTTCTCAAAATTTTATAGCTTAGTTCCAGAGGCTGCTAAGAGGGTTAAACTACCGCTGGTGGACGACCCTGTGACCAATCTGACATCTACTTCGGTGCTACCAATGGAAGCAGATGGCCTACCCAAAGATCCATGCGACAAGAGAATAGAACAGGCTCTACGCCGGGACTTTGAAGCTTCAGCAAATGCGCTAAAAGCCTCGGCGACAGGATCTTTATTCGCAAGAGCAGCCTTCTCCTGGGCTTCAGATTTGGCAGCAGCAGATAGCAAGCTACCCAAGGATCTCAAAGACGAAATTAAAAAGATTGCCCTGGCTGCGGCATTTGCATCCGATGCTTCCCTGGATGCCTTACAGATGTCCGCAAGAGCAATGTCATTTAGTGTGGCGGCTAGGCGGAACACGTGGCTTCGAAGCTGGGATGTGGACCCGGCTGCACAGGCCAAGGTGGCTGCAGTGCCTTTTAAAGGCATTAATCTCTTTGGTGAAGGAATGGACAAGTACCTAGTGGAGGACAAGGACAAGAAAAAGGCACTCCCATCCAAAAGAAGGGAGGGAAAACAGAGACGACGCTTTCAGTCCTTTCGGGAGAACAAGCGACAATCAAGCTCAGGCTTTTCCCAATCTTTCAGAAGAAAATGGCAGCCCAGGACACGAGATGACAGCAAGCCCTCTTCGGTCCACAAGACTAATCAACCACCAAAAGGAAACAAGAAGGGGTTGTCAGCATGACTATCCAGAAATACAGGACGCTGCAGGTATAGGGGGACGTCTCCAAAGATTTGCAAGCCGTTGGCAGCTCACTGTCCAAGACAGGTGGGTTTTGGAAACAGTGACGGACGGATACTCCTTGGAGTTCGAAAGTCTTCCTCCCAAACGATTCCTGCAGGTTCCGAAAAACAGGTCCAGACAAAGACACCATCTTTTGAAAAAAGCCATCCAACATCTGAGAGACATCGGAGCTATAGAGCCTGTACCAAAGAACCAACGATCACATGGAGTTTACTCAGTTTTCTTTATTGTTCCAAAAAAGAATGGGGACTTCAGGGCGATCCTAGATCTAAAGTGGTTGAACAGATGGATCAAAACTCAACCGTTCAAGATGGAAACACTCAAGTCCACACTGTCAGCCATCCAGAAGGGGGACTTTATGGCCTCCATAGACCTAGCCGAGGCCTACCTGCATGTCCCAATAAGGGAGTCCCATCGGCAGTTTCTCCGCTTTGCCTACAATCGGAGACATTTCCAATACAAGGCACTTCCGTTCGGCCTGAAATCGTCTCCCAGGGTGTTCACAAAAATCTTAGTGACACTAGTAGCACACCTGAGATTGGAAGGTGTTTCCCTGGCCCCATACTTGGACGATATTCTCCTCAAAGCACCTTCTCTCGACAGTTGTATGGGAGCAGTGAGGCACACAGTAGAATGCCTGCAGAATCACGGATTTGTGATCAACGAAAGAAAGAGCATTCTTCACCCGACACAAACGATTGTACACCTAGGAGTACAAATCAATACAGTTCGAGACAGAGCTTTTCTAACTCAGGAACGACAACAAAAGATACAGTCTATGACAGAAAAGGTATTGAAGAGTCAAAAGATGGAGGTAATGACATTGGCACAACTGCAGGGCCTTATGGTGTCATGTCAGGAATTACTCCAATGGGCAAGGTTTCACACCCGTCCTCTACAGAGGTTTCTTCTGCCCTTTCAGGAGGTCATTGCGAACAAAAGGACAAGACTAGTCTCTATTCCAGAGAGCCTCAAAACAGATTTGACCTGGTGGCGGGAACCCACGAGATATCAGCTGGGTGTTCCGCTACGGGAACCAAAGAGGGTGGTTATGACCACCGATGCCAGCCTTGTGGGATGGGGAGCTCATGTGCAAGGCAGAATGACTCAGGGAATCTGGTCATGCACGGACACGACACACAGCATGAACTTTCTGGAGTTACGTGCCATCAGGCTGGGTCTGCAAGACTTTCAGAGTCTATTAGCAGGATGTCATGTCTTGGTACAGACCGACAATATGACGGCAAAGGCATATGTGAACCGTCAGGGGGGGACCAGATTCAAATCCCTCCACGAGGAAGCCTGCCGTCTGATACAGTGGTCGGAAGAACAACTACTGTCCATCAAGGCGATTCATGTTCCGGGTCAGGACAATGTCCTGGCGGACTGGCTCAGCCGCAAGACATTAGACCAGTCGGAATGGATGTTAAACAAGGAGGTGTTCCAACAAATATGTCAGAGATTCGGCGAAGTGACCGTCGACCTCTTCGCAACAGCTCAAAATCGTCAAGTACCAAATTTCATGGCAAGAACAAGAGTACAACAGGCCATAGGAGTGGATGCTCTAAGTTGCGACTGGCCTCGTCAACTAATGTATGCCTTCCCTCCGATCCAACTGCTATCCAGGGTGATTCAGAAGGTCATAGAGCAACGGGCAGAAGTGATCCTGGTAGCACCCTTCTGGCCGAGGAGACCATGGTTCCAAGAGCTCAGGAGACTGTCAGTAGTAGAGCCATGGCGACTTCCATTGAGAGCAGACCTTCTCACTCAGGGGGCGCTAGTGCATCCAAGACCAGAATCCTTGGCCCTCACAGCCTGGAAGTTGAGCGCAATCAACTTTCAGGAATAGGTTATTCTAAGGAGGTCATTGATACGATGTTAGCCTCTAGGAAAAATTCTACTGCTAGGGTCTATAATACTACCTGGCAGGTCTTCCATTCCTGGTGTAGACAGAAAGGTTGGGAGCCCCTGTCAGTTCCTATTAGTGGAATCCTGTCCTTTCTACAGGAGGGATTGTCAAAGGGTCTTAGTACCAGCACTCTTAGACGCCAGGTGGCAGCCCTCTCGGCTGTTAGGGGAGCTAGGAAGGGTAAACCACTGAGTCAGCATCATCATGTTAAGAGGTTCCTAAAAGGAGCGGCCCTTATTAACCCACCACAGGTTCATCGTTTCCCCACCTGGAACCTTAATCTGGTTCTGAGGGCTCTGTCTCGGGAACCCTTCGAGCCAATGGCAACATGCCCACTTAAGGAGGTTACCTTTAAAACGGTTTTTCTCATAGGTATCACTTCTGCTAGGAGGGTATCAGAATTGAGAGCACTCTCCATAGATAAAGAACTTTGTGTCTTCCATGCTGACAAAGTGGTACTTCGTCCTGACCCAGCCTTTGTACCAAAGGTGAATTCGACCTTCCATAGGTCGGAAGATGTAGTGCTACCCTCTTTCTGCCCAAATCCAAAACATGATAAGGAAAGAGAGTGGCATTGTCTGGATGTTCGTAGAGCCTTAAGCTACTACTTGGATAGGACAAAACACTTCCGTAAATCGGATGCTCTCTTTGTGTCCTTTAGAAAATCTAATCTGGGTCAGAGGATCTCGACTTCCACGATTAGTAGATGGATTCGGGGATGCATCATACTGGCATATAAAGCCAAGAGTGAGGAACCCCCGCAGGGCGTTACTGCTCATTCATTGAGAGGAGCAGCTACATCGGTAGCCTATAGGTCTTTTCCGTCGTTAGAGACGATTTGCAAAGCGGCTACTTGGAAGTCTGTTCATTCATTCACAAAGCACTATAGAATTGACAAAATAGCATCTGCAGACGCAGCCTTTGGCAGGAGGGTTCTGCAGCACACCCTCTAGGCCCTGAAGCCGGGCACCCACCCTAGGGGCACACTGCTTTGTTACGTCCCACTTGTGAGGACCGCCCCACTCTCAGGACCACCGGAGAACGGAAGATTTGTCTTCACTTACCGTGAAGCTTCCTTCTCGGTGGTCCTGGAGTGGGGCGGTCCTACCCACCCAAGAGTTTTCTCTTGGAACGGCTTCTGGTACTGGAGGGAGTGCTGAGAGTTTCTCTGTATAGCCCAGTGTTAGTCCTGAGGGGGTTACAGATCCTCTCTGCGGTATACATGGTTCTTGCTAAAATGCAACAGGAACAGAAGGGCGTAGAATGTTTTTTGTTACACAGTTATGAACAGTTGTTCTATGTTCTTACTGGTTAACCCTTCAAGTGATCTGGGTTAGTTGGGGAAGGGGTGTTTTTCCTTCTCTTTTTTCCTCATGTATGAGAGTTGTCGATGGGAGGCATGGCTTGGATATGGACTGACGATCTGTGGGCAAGCCCCTCCTCTCCGGGATCAAATTCTGCCAATCAACCCTGCTTCCGGAGGAGGGAGGAGCTACCCACTTGTGAGGACCGCCCCACTCCAGGACCACCGAGAAGGAAGCTTCACGGTAAGTGAAGACAAATCTTCCGTTTTTCTCTATTGATTCCCCCCCTATGTTCACTCTTCTTCCCGTAATCTCTTCACTCTGTTTCATTCTTACAAAAAGAAGGCTTGAAAGGAAGACTTTATTATCAGGCTATTTAAAAAGTGCATCGAATGCAGCCTAAAAATGGCTCAGTCAGACAACCATTACCATTGTCTCATATGCCTAGGCAAGGTCGAAAGTGTCTCTGCCTGCTCTGTTTATAACCAGTTCACTCCAGAGGCTTTCTTGGACTGGGCTTCCAGGCTGAAAGCCACCCTTTGAGAGAAGGCTTCAGTGGCTCTGTACAAAGACCATACCCCTTCTAAGGCGTCGAAACTGGACTACTGGACCCAAAGCTCCCCTTGGGGTCAGCGGCGTCAGGATTTGTATCGGAAAAGGGCCCACTATCAGTTCCAAATAAATTCTTGGTGACATGTAGTGCCTCAAAACCTCTGCCACAAAAGAAGAAATTGAACTTGAAGCATAAGACTTCCTATCCTTCCTCCACCCAACTGGGAGTGGATCTGTCCCCCACTCAGCAACCCCAGGTCCCTTCTCCGACTCACAGACGGTCGCTGTCTCCTTTGTCCAATGACAAAGTTATTGGGATTGCCCCCCAGTCTCTTTGGGAGACTCTCCAGCCTAGCAATATTGGGGACTGCCACTTCTGCAGTGGTTCCAGTACACACCGCCCAAGTACTGGCCTATGCAGTGGGAACAACAGCTACCACCTTCCGTGGAATTGGCCTCCTGGCCACACTGTACTCTTCTGTCAGCCCTGTTTGTTATGGATCTGAGTCCTCAGAATTGCATGAGAAAAAGCCCCCATCCTTAGATAGTACCAGCGCCCCCTCAGAACCATCACCTGACAAATGTACTGCAGACCCATCACCTGTTTCCCCAATGGAAGGTCTCCGCCTCTATTTCAAACAAATGATCTGCATGGCTAAGTCTCTTAATATTGAAGTGATCTGCTCAGAACCGACTACCCATTTTGAACATCTTTTACCTACCCAACACTGGCCTAATTCCTTTCCCGATGCTATAGGGATTGCTGGACATATCCAAATCTATCTGGACCAAGCCAGCATCGCTCTTCCCTGTTGCCAAGAAAATTGACCCCATGTACAAGATTTCCTTTTTGCCCACTCTACTGCCATCTCCATCATGACAGAGGTCATCCCAGCCAAGCAAGATCATTGTCCCTAACTCTATGCATGCTGAGCTTTAATAGTATTATGGGGCACTACCAAATGTTCCTGTGGAAAAGAATGGCTACATTCATTGATTCACTTCCAGAAGAACACAAAGATGTGGTCAGGGCCCTACAGGCAGAGGGCTTCAAACTGGGAAAACAGCAACTAAATGCTGCACAACGTATCATGGACTCATTCAGTAGATCCATCGCTTCTGCTGTAGTCCTACGGCACCATTCCTGGCTCCCCTGCACTGCCCTTCCCAATGATACTAGGGGGAGAATAGAGGACCTCCCCTTTGAGGAAAGTAATCTGTTCAGCTCCCAGACAGATGATGCTCTAGACCGTATGTGAAAGAATGGTCCCTTGGCATCACCAGTCCACCTGTCCAGACCCCCAAACCTTGCTACTTCCCAAGACACACAGCCCATTCACAGTCCTTGGAGTCCTACCAGATGTCCTACTCTGAATCTTCTTCGTGGTCTCTGGCATCACACAGAGGCTGTTCAGCCTGTATCTATAAGTTTAAAATCTAGCTTCCTTTCCAATGTATTTGACAAAGTGTGCATGCACACGAAAGCTCATACTTTGAATAAACCTTTGTTGGTCTTAAAGGTGCCACTGGACTCTAAATTTGTTCTACAATTCAACCAGTCAGACAGCAGGAACTTCTAGTTTGAGTTAAAAGCCCTATGAATACTAGTACTTAGGGGTCAACAACAATAAAGCTTTGGCTTTATACCTTCTTTATAGGTCTTCTGGTGGCATCTTGTATCTATTCAGTTCTTATATTTGTTCAGGAGTGGTACATCTTCTAGATTTTGCAGACAGTATGGCAATTTACCAACCTCTAGAAACCTTTTTTCATCTTCCCATGTGGGAGGTCTTTTGCATAACAGTTGTTGACTGTAATCGAGCCTTTGTAAAAGAGGCAGAACCACTCCATTCAGAATTTGTGATGTTTTTGTATCAGTTATTAGAATTTCCTATAAACAGTAATCCCACAATGATGTAGTGTGTTGTGTTATGAGTGTTGTCTGTGTGTAGAAATTTGTTGGATTTTTTTATTCTTGAAAAAAGACCCCATCTTTAAAAACAGTAAATATCCCATGTAAAAACAGAAATGATAAAACCAACTGCTCAGCCATATATTTCAGAAAGTGGTATCCCTATTTCTCCGTAATTAGAACTGGAGACAAAACCCAGCTCTTCAAGGATCTAAAAAATTTCCCCATAATAAAGAAGCGGAAGGATGAAATTGAAGCAGTACTCTGCCAGATGCAGTTACATCTTCAGGATATAAGAAGGAAGCTAAATGGTCTTTCTGTGGATTATGTGACAGTGTCTGGGCAAGAGGTAACTCAATGGGCTCTATATTTGTGTGTGTGTGTATGTGTGTGTGTGTGTGTGTGTGTGTGTGTGTGTGCCGGAGTTCCATGTTTTAGTCAACCATGTTTTAGTTATGTGTAAACATAAAGCAGAGACCTAGCTACTTGTCTTGACCCTTCAGCACTTGATCTTTGTTTACTCTTGGAAAAAATGTTCAACCAAAGATAATCCCTTTATAAACTAATGTATTTAATATTTGGGACTGGAATGCTAGTAATAGGAAAATGATTTGAAAATGCTGTATTACATATGGGCACACTGGTGAAACGTTTGGGTGCAGAATATGTTCAGTTTTCTGGGTGCTGTCTGAGTCAAAAACTACATTTCTGAGAACCATGTACTATTAATTAAGTTGTTTTATTATATTCACATTTTAACACATCAAGTTACCTTATATGGAATCAGGCCATTTGTCTGTCAAGATCAGTACTGTCTTTGACTCTCAGCAGTTCTCCCACGGTCTCAGAGGTCCTTTTAGCTGGGGACTGAGCCTTTGTGCACACAAAGCAGATGCTCTGCCAGTGAGCCATAACCTGTTGCTGTGGTGTGAGCCACTTGGGGATGCTGCTGACTTAAATATTTTAATTTAATAAATGTAATTACTATAGGTTGGATCCAAATTTGTTTCTGCAGGCACAAGAATGTCCACCAGGGGAACATGATATTCTCACCTCTCAACTCCCATAGCAGCCCAAAATGTCCCCTAAAATTTTTCTTTTGTGGGAAAGGACCCCTTGTGAACAGGACTTTGGGGGTATGTTGGGCTGCTGCAAATGGCAGGGGATTACACTCCAAGGGTGGAAGTCCTTTCGCCTCTGGAAACGTTAGTTATAAAAACGTTATAAAACCATTCCCATGGCTGTGTAGAATAAGCTTTCATGGGGCCAGATCTATCTTTTAAAAAGGGATTTGGCCTATGAAAATTTCTGCCAAAGTAAATCTTTTAGTCTTTAAAATGCCAGTCTTTATTTTTATTGTTTTTCTGCAACAGACCGACACAGTTACCTTCTGGCATGTAAATGTTTATTTTAGTTTCAGATTGAAGTAAAAAACTCACTGATATCTTGCATACCATCTGATTGGATTAAAGTTAGCAGGTATGTAAAAATATATATTTTCCTCTCTTCGATTAGCATGTATTTTGTCAGTGAAACAAATGTCTACGAAAAACCTTTAACATTCTTCACTCTGAATGGTGGAGGGAGAAAAGACTGGAAAAGGACTGAAGATATGTTTTGAAATAAATGTTTGATAAATATTTCTGTAACTTTAAAAACTCTAAATGTTTCAAGTTCTTTAGACATAACGGTGTCTCTTCAGAAACAAATAATGGTGGCAGTTTATACATAAAATAATTAAAATAATTTTGATTAATACATCACACCTAATTGTCATTTATATTGCATAGCTTTTTACAATTGTAATAATCATAGAAATGGGATGAATGAACTGATAAGCATTTTTCCAGGTTGGTGTTTTTTTTAATATTGTGTGCTCAGTTCCTTATGATGTCTAAGGAAGTTCTGCTGACATCAGTGAGATGCGACTTCACAGGCTTAAAATCCCATGTGGTTTGAAGTTGCTTGAATGTTGTAGTTAGGGGGGTGTGCTCAGTATTTCAGGTATTTATACCTCCTGAATAAAAGCCAATATTATTCAGGCCTCCTGAGTGAAGGGAAGGGGTTTAAAATTAAAACCCCTCCCAGAGTCAGGCTGACTCCAGAGAGAAGGGAGCTTCTGATGAAGTGAGGACTCAGACAGTGGCGGTGTGTTCGTGACGAAGCTACAGGAGCATCCTATAGAACGTTTATGAGATGGCGGTCAAAGCCACAAAAAAAGAATACTACGCAGCCATGATTGCATCCGTGAGCTCCTGCCCAGCCCGATTATTTGGAACGATTCGGTCTATTACTACTCTGCCACAGGGCAGACCAAACACTAAGGAATTGGAGGTTGGCTGTGAAGCTTTTGCGAGCTATTTTGCAGATAAAGTCTTGCTGCTCCACCGCAACCTTCGTGCCACAGTTGAGACAGTAAGGGAACTCGAGGCTCCATGCATGTCTTCTTGTCAAGTTTTGGATTATTTCAGTCCACTCAGCCTAGAAGAGGTTGACAAATTACTCTCGACTGTTCGCCCAACCACTTGCAGCCTTGATCTATGCCTGCCATGGCTAATTAAAGCTGGCTGCGACAGCCTACAAGGTACCATAAGGGAAATTATCAACAAATCCCTCTCTGAGAGGCTGTTCCCCGGGGTACTCAAGGAGGCAGTGGTACACCCTGTCTTGAAAAAACCATCCTTGGATCCAGCCGAATTGGTTAACTACCAGCCAGTTTCCAACGTGCCATATTTGGGCAAATTAATTGAGGGGGCGGTGGCAATTCAGTTGCAGGGTTTTTTGGATGATACCTCTGCATTAGACCCCTTCCAGTCTGGCTTCCGACCAGGCCATGGGACAGAGACAGTACTGATTGCCCTCATGGACAATCTTCGGAGGCATCTGGATTGGGGCGGTTCAGTGTTAGACCTGTTGGTGGCGTTCGACATGGTCGATCACCAACTACTGACCTGCCGCCTCGTCGACACTGGGGTTTAGGAGTCTGCCTTACAGTGCCTTTCCTTGTTCCTTCATGGTCGGGGACAAAGGGTGGCCATTGGGGAGCAGCTGTCCCGAAGGCATCCGCTAGTTTGTGGAGTGCCTCAAGGTGCGGTGCTTTCCCCAATGTTATTTAACATCTACATGTGCCCCCTTGCCCAGATTGCATAGAGTCATGGGCTGGGTTGTCACCAATATGCAAATGACACCCAGCTCTATCTGTTGTTGGGCGGCCAGTCCAACTCTAGTCCAGAAGATCTGGACCTGGTGTTGAAAGCTGTGGCTGGTTGGGGCAGGCTGAGCTGGCTGAAATTGAATCTGATGAAGACGGATGTTCTGTGCCTGAGTCGGAGTGACCCAAGGGTAGGGATCCCACTCCTGACCTCCGATGGGGCACCGTTGGTGCCAGCACCAGAGGTTAGGAGCTTGGGAGTGCTCCTAGATGCCTCCTTAACGATGGAGGCCCAGGTAGCAGCTACTAAAAGCATTGCACGGTCTGCCTGTAGCATACCGAATTCTGTTCAAGGTGCTGGTTCTTACTTTTAAAGCCCTATATGGTCAGGGACCTGCATACCTAAGGGACCGCCTTTCCCCATATGTTCCCCCAGACAGCACTATGATTCGGGTCCTGAAACCTCTTGGCCTTGCCAGGCCCCAGAGAAGCCAAGCTGGCTGTGACGAGGGCAAGGGCCTTCTCAGTGGCGGCTCCATACTGGTAGAATGAGCTCCTGGAAGACATCAGGGCCCTGCAGGATCTTTTACAGTTCTGCAGGGCCTGCAAGACAGAGCTCTTCCACCAGGCCTTCGACTAAGGAGCTGCACCATACAACCAAGGCCCTGGCCCCAATATTAACATCAATACTAACATCAACAGTATTATTAACAGTCGATATAACTCAGACTACGGTGGGAGCTGACTGCCTGTTTGTTGGATGCTGTTCATGCCTCCATTGCATATGAATCATCTTAGCACTAGCACTTTGTAATGTTTTATACTTATTTTGTTATGATTTTATCTAAATTTTGTTTTAGCTGTGTAATATCCTATGTAAGCCACCCTGAGCCTGCTACTGTGGGAAGGGTGGGGTAGAAATTAAATAAATAAATAAATAATAAACTTTTAAACCCGTTCCCCCCCCCCCAAGAGTCTGGCCACAACTGCAGTGTGACTCCAGAGAGAAGGGAAGGGGGTTTGTTTCATACATGGTAAAGGTTGGCAACCCTTTAATGTAGCAAAAGCATGTGCAGTAAAAGTGATTTAAAGAATAGCTCTTTTTTCTAGCGAAATAATAATCAGCAAAGTTTCTCTTGTAAAAATAAAAAGCTTAAGCACTGTGGATACATTGGTTTTCTGGAGGAAAGAGCATTTTAAATTGTGGAACACCACTGAGATGATTCAGACGTAAATATTTGACTTTGCCCTGTTAAACTGTCAAACAGCAACAGGTTTAGCTGTGTATGCTTTCTATTTAGTTTTAAGTTCAGATGCTATTTACATCTCTTTTTACACACACATACACTTTTCTGAGAGCTTTCAGTTGAGGTAACTCATAAATAGATACTTAGAGTATATAGTTATATCTGTTCCCATAGGGGCACAAATAAAAGTTTCATTCCAGTTACGCTAGAAGCTACAATAGATATGCTTACTCAGGAGTAAATTCCATGAGGCTTACTCCCAAGTATACATAGAACTTTACTCCTGGTAATGACTTGTAAGCTATCACTAATAAGGCCGGACTGGCTTGCTCAACAATATGGATTAATACTGTATCCTCACCAATCGTCCGTCTCAAAGTAAGTAAAGTGTGCCATCAGGTTGCAGCTGACTCATGGCAACCCCATGAAGTTCTACCTTTGGGGGGGTTTAAGTCAAGAGATGAGCAGAGGTTGTTTGCCATTGCCTTCCTCTGCTTAACAGCCACAGTTTCCTTTAGTGGTCTCCCATCCAAGAACCAATCCTGCTTAGTTTCTGAGCGTTGACAAGACCAAGCTACTCTGGGCTATTAGGGTTCCTTAGCGGTATAGCATACACAGTTTATTTTAGTAATTACATCTTTTGATCCTGTTATCCTGAGAATATTCCATGAAAATTCAACTTTGTATTTTCAGTTAAATAATTGTTGTTGATCTCAGGGATAGACGTCATATCAGTAAATAATGTGTTTTTAATCTACTGTGAAAGAGCCAGTTTTTCTTGATTGATTTAGCCACCTGCTAACATCCAGTTAATGAAAGAGAAACTTCCCCTCTCCATTATCAATTATTGATGGACTCCCAAAGAGTCTAATAATGACCCTCACTATTGCTTTTTTTAATTGGCTGTCGTATTCATATACAAATCCACCTTTCCCCCTCTCAATTAGTACTCTATTGGAACACCTCTCACAAGCTTTCCTGGAATAAATTTTCATAACTCTTAATTACATAGCAACTTTTTAACATGAGAAAGTAGTTAAAGCCTGTAAAGAAAATTCCAAAGGGTTACTTATTAGGGGAATGGGCAGGCCACATTGTAACATCATTTGCTTTTAAAACGTCTGAAATGTCTTGTCTTGTCATAATGCTGCTGTTAAACAAAATTCATACTGCCTGTTGTGCTTTCCTAGAAACAGAATATTTAAACAGTTTGAGTACTTTAAACAGTACATGCAAATACATATATCTTAATTCTGCCAGTGCTTAGTGTTTTGAATGCTTTACTTACTGAATGCTCCATAGTAATATGGTAATTTATTTACAATAAATAATAAAATCAGAGTTCATTAAATAGACATAATTTTCCTTCTTTTCAAGGTACACAGTGGGCTGTAGCTCCCATAAAAGTATACTCTGTTGTTTTAGTTACATAGTAAAGTGACAAATTAGTTGTAATGAGCAACAATTGTATGATGAACAACAATCCAGTTGAAATGATACGGAATATATTCTTCCCATGTGAACTGGTCCTAAGAAAGCACTGGTCTGATTTTCCACTTTGCAGTATGACAGATTGCTTAGTAACCTTTATTTCCTATTTGGTTTTCTTTTCTAGCACAAAAACTGTCAGCCGTTTCCACACTCCATTTATTGTAGAAAATTACAGACATCTGAATCAGCTACGTGAGCAGCTAGTCCTTGATTGCAGTGCTGAATGGTTATGCTTTTTAGAGTGAGTTTACAAGTTCAGTGTTTGTTAGCGGAAGAAAACCATAAAATGTGTTTTGAAATAGGAATTTATTAATAAAGTGCAAGTATTCTGAAATCCTGTGTGGTTGGCTTTGCTTAAAGGATTGTTTGAAAAGTACTATATTTAAAATATGTAGAATCAGTATTTCAGAACTTCCAGGAACTATTTGAATGCTTATATACTACTTTTTGCAATTCTAATAAAATGTTAGGACTACCCTGGCCTTAACTAATCTGCTGTCTACCTGAAATGGATTGCTAGTGTGCCTCAGCTTACATCTATCCCACTAATTGGTATGGTTGATAAATAAAAGGAGGTGTGTTTGCCTAGTCAATATATTTCTGTACAGACATTTTGTTTTGCTTGTTCTTTAATGGTTAGTTATAACCTTTATACAGAACCTTTATGTAGGAATCTTTGGGGAAAACCAGAATCAGTTGTAGAATGTAGTAATAGTTTACATATAAATATTTTATACAGTAATTTTCTTTTTCTCCTTGATGTGTAGTCATTTTAGTGAACATTATCACTCTGCCTCTGAAGCCGTGGGTCACCTGGCAACTGTGGATTGTATCTTTTCCTTGGCTGAGGTTGCTAAACAAGGGGACTATTGCAGGTAATGACTCCTTAAATGATGGTAAAATATTAGTTATCTTTGTTGATTTAATATATAACACAAAAATATGTACTATAAAATATCTATGTATCATGCTTGAAGATATTAAAACAGTTCTTTATAAGATCAGCCTGTGTGGCTCATAATTATGGTGGTGGAGTTGATTTTCTGATAGAATGTATGCCCTGACTTCAGTTTGAGGGAGATTGAACATTGAGGCCAGACTCCTCCTCATTTTCATCTAACAATGTATTGTAATATACTTTTTTCAGACCAGTCATAAAAGATGACAAATCAGAGATAATAATAAAAAATGGGAAGCACCCAGTGATTGACTTGTTGTTAGGGGAGCAAGAGCAGTATGTTCCAAATGATACCTACTTATCAGTAAGTATGGGATAAATAAACTGGGAAGTAATAAACTCATAATAAAGTTGCTTTTTGTCCATAAAAACATATTTATGTTTTCTTTGTTTCCAGATTGCAGTAATTGAAATCTCTGTGCTTATCTTTGATATTGTGACTAAGAAAAATCTAAAATATGACATTAGTAAGGCTAGTTCTTAAATTGTTAAAATTAAAGATGTTCACAGACTTAAAGTTAGGTTTCCTATTAGTAAGGAATATTTGCAAGAGATTAGCACACACAAGATTGTTATTTCAAGACTAGTATATTTTGTCTATTTCTGTGATTTTATATGCATATGTCCAAGTCCAGAGTCAGCAATCTATGTACTCCAGTTTTCATCATGGATTTAATGTAGCTACAGACATGGAATACTGTGCAGCATTAAAAAAAATGCATCCAATGATACAGGTAGAAAAAGAAGAATTGGTTTTATTCCCTGCTCTTCACTACCCGCAGAAGTCTCAAAGTGGCTTACAATTGCCTTCCCTTCCTCTCCCCACAACAGACACCCTGTGAGGTAGGTGGGGCTGAGAGAGTTCTGAGAGAACTGTGACTGACCCAAGGTCACCCAGCTGGCTTCATGTGGAGGAGTGGGGAATCAACCCCAGTTCTCCAGATTAGAGTCCACTGCTCTTAACCACTACACCATGCTGGTAGTGGTGCACATATTTTACAACAGAATTACATTCCTGTAATTCTTGGTGGTGGTTGTATTTTCCTTTGTCCAGGATCAAGGTTACAATGTGAATAGGTTGCCACTCCTGAAAGGGGTAATCTGTGGCATACACACACTTGTCGGATTGCTGCCCACCAGGTAATACCATCCATACGTTTTATCAGTGCCCGCCCCAAAAATAAATGCAGACAACAAATGTGCCACATTCAGAAAGCAGGAAATAAGCTAGATGCAGAACTGATATTTGAGGGTACTCAGTTGAGCAGCAGACATTTTGTATGTTTATCGTCATGGGCCCCAGGGGTCATTTTGTAGAAAAAGAGGTGCAGGAGCTCATTAGCATAACTCATTAGCATAACTTATTTGCATATGCCACACCCCCTGACATCACTGGAAGTATGTCAGAAGGCAACACCCACTGCTCAGGCTCCACTGGACTGTTTTGGATTGCTAGCTATGGGGGGGGGGACACACGCAGATCTGCCCTCGCAGATCCCCCATGGCCCACCCCCCCAATCCACACACCCCCGCCGCCGCCACCCCGCAGGTGCTGGGAAAGGCAGGCGGCGGGGCTCCGGGGGCGGGGCTTGTGCCGGCTCCGCTCCTGTGTGCTCCTGCAGGAAATGACCCCTGGTCATGGCCAGTTAATTAAGCATTTAGAAATGGGGAACACAGATGCTGACTATTCTTAATGACATGAATGTATGTATGGTATAAAGGAAATACAATTCTAAAAAAAATAACATATTTATTGGTAGTGAAACTAATGGAGCTGGGCAGTAAACTAATAGCTATGGAAGTGCAGAGGCAGATTTTTTTTGAAAGTGGGTTTGTAACATGACTCTGTATTTGGAAGCCATCCTTAACAGCAATCTCAACTTCTTTCCATGGTTGCAACACCTGCCTCGCTACACCTCCCTTTTTTGCACAGGTTATTGCAGTTAAAAACTAACTTACCTTGTGATGTTAAGCCACCTGTATTTGTACCATTATTCAGTGCTCATCTAAGAACAGCGCTTTAAGGTGAAACAGCCTAGTTAGAGTACATTTTGGGATTAAATCATTATTTTGTTTTACTGTGACACAAACAGTGCAATTTGTATTTTTAGTTGGATTTATTGTGAGGTGATATTGTGATTTGGGTTGGGGAGTGTGTGCATGCTGTAAGCTGCTTTGCCAACCCTGATTGGGTAGAAAAATGAGACCACTTCTTATAAATAAGTGCAATGTTAATAAGAACCCAACATGAGAAATATTTCAAGCCATGTTTTAGAAATAGTGTTTCAGTTCAGATCATCCCTATACAAACATAGTTCTCTGGTGGTCTAGGGTGAGGCAGTCACAGCCAGTGAGAAGAAGCTCCTCCCTGGAGGCAGTCAGGGTCATTCACCTTTTTTAACAACTCCTAGTGGGAGAGGCTGGTCCCTCAGTCTTCCAGTTTTGGTTCAGTCTGCCTTGCGGATAGGTGGTTGTTAACTGTGCTTGTTAAAGAGCACAGTGACTTCATTCTGTTTGTTTGCTTTTTTCCAACCCCCTGCCTTATCTGAGAAGTTTCTATGGGAGGTATCTTTCTGCTGGGAGACAGGGTTGGAGGATGCAGGAAGAGATTGGCGCCTTCATAAGTATTGCACTAGTAGGGATCCAGTGCAGAGGGACAAAATGAAAGTGTAAATCTAGAAGCAGAAACTTGCCTGCTGGGGGAAGGGGCTAGAGAGGAGAGGTATGACCAGTCCTCCAGATGTGCCAAGCCCCCCAGTTTGGTGTAGTGGTTAAGAGTGGTCAACTCGAATCTGGAGAACTGGGTTTGAGTCCCCACTTCTCCACATGCAGCCAGCTGAATGACCTTGGGTCAGTCACTGTCCTCTCAAGACCAGTTCTCTCAGAGGTCTCTCAGCCCTACCTAACTCACAGGGGGTCTGTTGTATTGTAAGCCACTCTGAGACTCCAAATAAAGGGTGGGGTATTAATCCTCCTCCTCTCTCAGTCAACAGCCCTAAGAACTCCCACAAGTACATGTCTGTTTCCTCTGCAAGACATAGAGAACACAGTCGTTTACTGGACCCAGACTTTAGTTTTGGGATGGCCCAATTCCCTTTTATTGAAAGAGGAAAGAGAGCTCTTCAGAAAAGAGGAACCTCTGGTGATGACCATGCAAACACACCTCGTTCCACAGGAGGTTTACCTCAGATTGCTTTTCTGCATCCTGGAGAGTCCATACAGGAGTCTGAAGGAACCAGACCCAGCTAGACCCACTGGGTCAGCTAGAACCTTTCCTCACACCCTCTAAGCCTTCTTTCCCATCAGCTTTTGACATGGCCATCAGGACAGAATGGGAGAACCCTGTGAGGCCTGAAGCCAACCACCAGATTATTTCCTGTTTCTGTTCTGTAGTTCTGGAGGCAGCCTACTGTTTTCAGGCTCCCTATAATCAGTGCTTCTGTGGCAGACCTGACTTCTAACACCTTCACTCCTGCCAAGTCAGACAGACTTCCCAGGGATCCTTGTAACAAAAGGATGACCTGGTCCTACATAAAATCTTTGAGGCTTCTTCTGCAGCCCATTGGGCTTCCACAAGTAGGCTCTCTGTTTGCCGGATTAATCTATCTCTGGGCCTTGGACTTCTCTGCCACCATACAAAGACATTCCTAAAGAGTTTGAGGACAGTTAAAAGAAAACTGCCCTGACAGCAGCATTCATGGCAGATGCCTCTTTCGATGCCATCCAACTATGAGCCAGGGCAATGGCTTCAAAAGTCAAGGTGAACTGTAGTACCTGGCTGCATAACTGGGAAGTGGACCCCACCTCCCAGGCTTGGGTAGCCAGCATTCTGTTCAAAGGGATTAACCTTTCTATTGACGCCATAGACCAATACCTGGTGGAGGACAAGGATAAGAATAAGACATCGCTTAGTTGCCGGAAGGAGAGCAACACAAAGAAGTGCCAGCCCTTTCGTGAATCCAAACCCAATACTAGCTTCAGAACTTTCAGAGCCAAGGACAAATGGCAGCAATCCTCTGCAAATTTCAGCAAACACTCCTCTCAGCCGAGACAAGGAGGTAGAATTTCTCAGCCTGACACCAACCCCTTTGTAGACATTGTAGACTGTCTGTTGCACTTTGTGCATATCTCGCAGCGATCCACTCACAACCAGTGGGTTTTGAACACCATCTACTAGGGTTATTTGCTGAAGCTTAAGCTCTCCCCCCCCCCAACAAATTCACACAGGTCCCCAGGTGTACCTTCCCAGTCAAGCATAGTCTCCTGCTGCAAGCCATAGACCATCTCTTTCAAATTGGGGCAACAGAACAGGTCACAGAAGATGTTACGGGTCTACTCCATCTTGTTTCCGGTCCCAAAGAAAAATGAGAATGTGTGGATGATTCTCAACTTGAAGTGGCTAAACAGATGGATAAAGAAGAAGAGATTGGATTTATACCCCGCCCTTCACTCAGAGTCTCAGAGTGGCTTACAAACTCCTTTCCCTTCCCCTCCCCACAACAGGCACCCTGTGAGGTAGGTGGGGCTGAGAGAGCTTTGACAGAAACTGCTCTTTTCAAGAACACTTCTGACAGAACTATGCCTTGCCCAAAGTTATCCAGGAGCTGCAAGTGGAGCAGTGGGGAATCATACCCGGTTCTCCCAGATTAGAGTCCATGCACTTAACCACTACACCAAACTGGCTCTCAAAAAAAGGAGTAGTTCAGAATGGAGACCTTCAGGTCAATAGTGGCTGCAATCCATTAAAAAAAAAAAAAGACTTCTTGGACTTAATGGAAGTTTCCTTGCACATCCCAATTCTTCAGGCCCACAGGAGATTCCTTCACTTTGGTTATGCAGAGCACCATATTCAGTACTGGGCTCTCTTCTTTGGGTTGAAGATGGTCCCCTGAATCTTCACATAAGTGCTTGTCTCCCTGGTGGCCCTGCTGTGGACCCAGAGAATGTCAGTCTTCCCATATCTGGACAATATTCTCATCAGGTCCTCCTTATTTCACCAGGGGCTGGCATGTGTGGACGGGACCACTGCCCGGCTTCAAACACTCGGCTTTGTAGTCAACAAGGAGAAAAGCTGCCTGGTCCTTTCCCAGAACATGGGGCTGTCAGTCCCTCCCTAATGTCACAATCCCTGAGGGAGAATCTTGGAGCATGATCTTTTGTTGTTTCTCCCGTTCTCTTACTGTTTCATTTTAATTTTTGGCAGTTGGAGTTAGTGTGTTTTTTATAGTTGTGGGGGGAGCTACCCAGCTTCTTAATTGGCCTGGGAGACTGAGGGAGAAGTGCCTACCACTAGGAGTTGTAAAAAAGGTTAACAACCCTGACTGCCTCCAAGGAGGAGCTTCTTTCTATTGGTTGTGACTGCACCACCCTATGACTATCAAAAAAAAGGAACTTCATGTGAACAAACTTTCCATAATGAGGTTATTAAATAAAATATTTAAAGTGCTGTAATTATACTGCTTCTCTTTCTAGAAAGACAATCAAAGAGTAATGATAATTACTGGGCCCAATATGGGTGGAAAGAGCTCCTATATAAAACAAGTTGCATTGATAACAATCATGGCACACATTGGGTCTTATGTACCAGCTGAAGAAGCATCTGTTGGTATTGTGGATGGTGTTTTCACCAGGTAAGATGTCAAGCTAAAGATTTTTATAGGATAAATGATAGATTTGAAATTACACTTCCACTTGTTCAGTCATTTGTTTTTTGCTGGTGCTTGCTAGTTGCCCAGTTGTGTGGACTCAGCCCAGCTGAGCTCTGAGCAGGAACAGGAGCAGGAGACAGAAGGGTGAGTGGTTTTTTATTTGCTTTCAGCGGAGAGGATCCAGCTGAGGATTTTGGTGGGAGAACTGGTCTGGGAGTGTGTGGAAGCGCTTGGAGTTTTTGCAGATTCCTGGCTGCTTGAGAGAGGAAAGGGCATTGTTTGACTGTGATTGACTGCAATTGAGAGGAAAAGGAAGGGGCATTGTTTTGCATGTGATTGAGTGCCTGGGTGCATTTGAATAGCTGCTGCCAGCCCTCTGCTGGGGGAGGCCTCTATTTAAGGAAACACCTGGCCAGAGGCAGAGGAGACCCAGCTGAGCTCTGAGCAGGAACAGGAGCAGGAGACAGAAGGGTGAGTGGTTGAGCGGTCGGGTTAGAACGGATAAAAGGAAGTACTTCTTCACCCAAAGAGTGATTAACACTTGGAATTCACTGCCACAGGAAGTGGTGGCAGCTACAAGCATGGACGGCTTCAAAAGGGAATTAGATAAGCATATGGAGCAGAGGTCCATCAGTGGCTATTAGCCACAAGGTATAGATAGGGACTCTGGGGCAAGTGATGCTCTGTCATCTTGGTGCTTGGGGGGGGTCAACAGTGGGAGGGCTTCTAATGTCCTGGCCCCACTGGTGGACCTCCTGATGGCACTGGTATTTCTGGCCACTGTGGGATACAGAGTGTTGGACTGGATGGGCCTTTGGCCTGATCCAACATTGGCATCTCTTATGTTCTTATGTTCTTATGTTCTTATGACTCATACTTTATATATAATCAACCATGTGCTTCCAAAGACTTAAGGCTACATAAGGATACAAAGGGGGATCCCACTGAGCCGCCTCCTCTGACTTCAGCCCAGTGATCCCCCCCTTAACATTTTGTTTGTGGGGATCAGTGGACTCTCAGGGAATGCATAGTGAGAGGGAAAATGATGCCCTCTCTTAAGAAAACTTGTGCCCTTTAGATTGCAGTTTGATACAGGCCATTAAGAGAAATTTTCTCGCCATTTGTAATTTGGAAATATGAAGACAATATCTACCAATTCAAAGGTTCATTTTTCCTCCATGGTTTGGAAGGAATATTTAACTTGGGAACTTTTATTTAATTCTCATGACTTATTGTTTCTGTAGTCACTTAGTCTGTTACATTCTCTCTTGCCAGTCCTAGATGCATTTTGGCTAAAGAATATTAGTCACAGACTCCTTTTCTCTCCAAAGGAACCCAGTGTGGCTAACATCAATACAAAAATACAATATAAATTAACCAACCAATAAAATAGCAAACTACATCTAGGTCATTCCTTGCTGGCTTATCCAAAACCACGGGCCTACAACCCATGGTCTTAGGGCAAAGTGTCCTTTGGCTTTTGCACTTCAGCTCACACCTCTGGTTGTGCTCAAGCTTTAGACCTGGAATAGGAAGGGAAAGCAAAGCTCATCAAAGATATTAAACAGCTGGCAACTATGTTCCTCCCAATCGTCTTCTCTCTGGAAAAGGCTGTTCTTATTTTGTGCTGTCTGGACTAAATTGAAATTGTTCTGAAATTCCCAGTGTCCATCAGATCCACTTCCATTATTTTCACACAAAATCAGTGTATTTTATACTATGATTTTAGAGACCTGAACTTTCTGCCCTTGATTTAAAAAATAAGGGCTTGATGGTAACTTCTCTGTGTTACCATAGGCTTGCTTAGAAGGATTAGAAGTGGGGTGCTAAAGTTACTTGAAATATTTTGCACCAGTTCAAGAGAGAATTGCCTAAGTGCAGAAACATAGCTAGGGTTTTAGGGAGGAATACGACATCAGTTCCTTAGCAACAAGAAATATCTCAGGTTTACAGTGTTGACCTTTAAATCACTGTTATTTTAGTAGTATTCACAAAATGTCATCAAGTTGAACTTTCTCCTGAGGTTTACATGGCGGAACTTCAAAAGATCTCTGTACTCCAGGTCTAGTTTGTACAAATGAGATTCAGTCATTCTCTAACTCAAAAGGCTATTGAAGAAATATGATATAAGGCATTGGATCCAAACATTCATTTCCATATACAAGGAGGTGTGAGGTGAGTTCTTCCACCAGAAGAGCTGTCTTCTATCAGTAGAATGTTCTTCTGCTTGAAGAACAGAACCTTTCTGTCTATATCAGAGGTTCCCAAGATAGTTGCTACTGGCACCATGATGTCTGCCAACACCTTACCTAGTGCCTGCCAAGTGTTTCAGAAAGTAGCTGGGGCCAAGTGGGGCTCTTGGCCAGAATGGCTTCTGATTAGCCTTTGGATTGGATTGGATTGATTGGCTGTGCTTCAGTGAAGAAGAAGGAAGAAGAAATCACTAACACAGCCAAAAACAGTCTTCACAACAATACGAACATGAAATTGAGCCAACTTCAGAGGACGGCGGAAGACAGGAGGGCCTGGCGGGAGCTGGTCCATGGGGTCGCGAAGAGTCGGACTCGACTGTGCGACTGAACAACAAATACAACTCGGAAGAGACCTCAGGCGTGGAGCGCTGCTGTTATTGACAAGAAATGACCTCCCTTGTCTGTGGATCAAAACAAAAAGTCAAAGAAACTAAACTGAAGCAAGGAAGAACAGACTGCTTCTAACAACTAAACAGCAACCTGGAGATAACAGTTGTGTAAACATGCATATTTAGGATTAAATGAAAATTAGTAGTACTACTAAATAGAAATGATGTTACTATCAATTTTAGTTTGTCCTTTGTGTTTTTCCAACCACAGATACATTTGAGGTGTATTGAGGCTTAGCTGCTTGTACTGGTCTTTAGCTAGAGATAAGTACTTCTACTGAAGGACAGTGAACTTTTTGTATTGTGCCTTAAGTCCCTTTGCCAGTTTCTAGTACATCTTTTTGTAAAGTACTACTTAAATGTAATAATGTAACAGTGCGGTCCTATGTAGAACTATTCCAGTCTGCTCCCATAGCGTTCAGTCGGCTTAAAATTGAGTAACTCTGCATAGGATTGCACTGTAAATAACTGAATGGGTATTCATAGGGGACATTTCACAATTGCTTCAAACCTCAGGGTGAAAAGACAGGCACAGTATAGCTTTTTTCCTTCCCAGGGATTAATGCAGCCAGGGGAAGGCATTTCCAGTTGGGAAAGTACCACAAAGAAAAAAAGGAACTTTTTTTTTTTGCAGCACAGCAAGTAAAGATCTGTACTTATCTAATGGATGTTATATGTCATCTGTCAGTTTATCAGAGCTGGACAAGACCTAGTAGATTAGTTGTTTGTCATACCTAAAAGAAAAATTTGTTTTTACAGCTTTTCCTGAAGCTAGATAAAAGAGAAATGTCAATTCTGTTAGTAATACTTGTGGACAGGAAGTTCTGGGGGTAAAAGTTTCCATAAGTGTAGATAAATTTAACAAACCATTAGGGTGCAGTCCACATTGATATAATTGAACTGTATTGCTGCTTAGACGTTCATATGGTTCCCAGAGTCCTGAAAACTGTGATGTGGTAGGCAAAAATAAATATTAAATTATATTTTCATTATTAAGAGCTACTCAAATTATTCTTAAATAAGTAAATTTATTTAATTCTGCTTAAATAGGTAAAATATTTGACAATTATTCACAGCTTTAGTATATTTGAAGGTGAGAAAGGCAGAAGCATGTAACCTAGAATAATCTCATAGAACTATGAATAAATTTTATTTATTTATTTTATTTATTTACATGTTATTTTTATACCGCTCATGACCCCTAATGGGTTTCAGAGCGGTTTACATTTAGACTACATCTGTAGTCGAACCTAACTAAGGCCACAATTTGTGGGGGGGGATCATTGTCACAATGGAAGGATATAAGCCGTGCGTTTCCACAAAGATTGGTGTTGGGACGAGTGCTTTTGGTTTGTTAATCATCAGGAATTGGCCATGAATAATGTAGTGGCCAGGCGTTCAGATGACACCAATTATTTAGGAAAGTCTGGTAAAAGCCAAAGCAGTTTGTGAAGCACTCTGAGAAGATTGCTTTAAAACAGGTGAGTGAGAAACAATGGTTTATTGGACTAGGATCTAGGGTTGCCAAGTGTTACCTGTATCTGGAGTGGGGGACTCCCGGCTTGCTCCAGGTGTGCGTGCGCAAAGCACGCACTGCACACACGTCACCCAGAAGTGACGGGACGATGCCGAGCACGCTGGGGGCGGGGCCATGACCATCCGAGGGAAAACCATAGAGTTTCTGTCAGAGCTCTCTCAGCCCCACCCACCTCACAGGGTGTCTCGGATGACCATGGCCCCGCCCCCGGCCATATCACATCACTTCTGGGTGACGTGCACGTCGGGGTGGGGTTTCCCCCGGGGCCCGATCTGCCAGTGGCGGGGGAAGGGGCCTTGGGGGGGGGGTTTCCCCGCCCCCCGGGGGGACTTGGCAAGCCTACTAGGATCTGGAAGACCCAAGTTCAGATCCCCACTGTCATGGAAGCTTGTTGGGTAATGTTGTTCCAGTCACACACACACTCAGCCTAACCTACCTTAGAGATTTGTTGAGATGATAAAAGGGGGGAAAGCCGCTTTGGGTCCTCATTGGGGAGAAAAGGGTATAAATGAAGTAAATAAATAAACAATTGGTGTAAAGTAATGCACAATGGAACAAGAAATCCTAATTTGAAATATATACTGAACTGGCAGAGGCCTAAAATGGCATAGACTTCGAGGTAAAGAGATCTTGAGGTTGTAGCTGATAGCTTGATGAAAATTTCAGCTCAGTGTTTAGCAACAGTGAAAAAGGAATACTCTATTCTGGGAATTATTAGGGTTAAAAATAAAACGGATTATTAGGAATGGTGCTGAAAATAAAACAATCAACACTGTAATATCCTTGGTAGATCTATGGTGCTGACTCATTTGGAATACTGTGTACAGTCCTGGTCACTGTAACTGAAAACTGGGACTTCTCAATTTAAAAAAAAATAATGGAAGGGCATGATAGAGATTTATAAAATTACTCATGTGGTAGAGAAAGTGGTAGGACATTTTTCTCTCCCACAGTACTAGGACTCAGGGATATCCAGAAGAAGAAGAAATTGGATTTATACACCACCCTTCACTACCCAAAGGTGCCTCAGAGCGGCTTACAGACTCTTTTCCCTCCCCCTCCCCACAAGAGACACCCTGTGAGGTGGGTGGGGCTGAGAGAGCTCCGACAGAAACGGCTCTTTTTCGAGAACAGCTGTGCCAGAACTATGGCTTGCCCAAGGTCATCCAGCAGGTGCAAGTGGAGGAGTGGGGAATCAAACCGGGTTCTCCCAGATAGAGTCTGCGCACTTAACCACAGACAATAAATCCAAGGCAGACAAGTATTTATTTACTCAGCAACTAACTGAATTACAGAATTCACTGCCAGTGGACATAGTGATGGCCCCTGACAGATCCACAGAGGACAGGTTTATAAGTGGCTGTTAGCCATGATGACAAAAGGGAACTTCCATATCCAAAGGCAGTAAACCTCTGAATACCAATGCTGGGAGGCAACATCAGGCCTCTACGACCTTCAAGGCAGTTGATTGGCCACTGAGTGAAACAGCATGCTGGACTAGATGGAATTCTGTTCTTATATTCATAAGCAGAAGAAAATAGCAACTAGTGGCATACATGTGATGCAGACAGCCTTGCACAGGAGTTCACAGAGTGCTGTCACACTTGGGTTTTACAGCAGTGTTCATGGTTCAGTTTGTGGAAGATGTTGCACAAATTGAAGATCTTTGAGTTTACTTGCACTTTAATGGTAAAACAATCCCATACAAGGTATAAAATTTTCTCTTCATGAACAGATGATGTGTTCTGCATGTGGAAAAAGAATCTTTGGATCCAGTCTAACCATGATCTGGGAATTAGATACAGGCCACAAATTAAGTATTTCCTTCTTTCGTGCATGTACATCCCCCCCCACCCCAATTTGACATCTTGCCTCAAATTTCATGATACCTAGTTGAAATTTGCTAAACTTCATTTCAGTACCCTATTCTATATAATGACAGCTCTTTCACTCTATTATTTCTGTGTTTTGTAATACTTTTGATATTGTATCCATATATTTCAGTAGTCCAAGATTATGGCTGATTTCGCACTAGAGCTGCCGCGTTGTTGCGCCGCCGTTTGCCCCAGTTCTATTGGTCAATTTCACACCTGAAGCCGCGTGGCTGATTTTGACCCGTGGCTTTGCCCTATTTCCTCCGCAGTTTCATTGATCCTCAAAAAACAAGATCACAAAGCTGCGGGGGAAATCAGGCGAAGCCGTGGGTCAAAATCAGCCATGCGGCTTCAGGTGTGAAATTGACCAATAGAACCGGGGCAAATGGTGGCGCAAAAACGAGGCAGCTCTAGTGCGAAATCAGCCTATGATTTATAAGGAAACGTAGGAAAAATGTTTAGGGAAAATTCATATAATTTTACAACATAATATATGTATTATTTGCCAAAGTAATGTAGGGTTTTTTGTTTGTTTTAGGTTGGGTCTAATAAATTAAATAGTCCTGTTTTGATTGCAGAATGGGTGCCACAGACAATATATTCAACCGTCACAGTACGTTTATGGAAGAACTGACAGATACAGCTGAAATAATTAGAAAAACAACATCACGTTCACTTGTAATTTTGGATGAACTTGGGAGAGGAACCAGCACACATGATGGAATTGCTATTGCTTATGCTACGCTAGAGCATTTTATTAAAGATGTAAGTAGAACAGACTTGAGTGTGTAAATAAGTGGTCTCTAGGTGATACACAAATAACACTTTTAGCATTGCTTGATAGCTGCAGAAATAAACATTCATTTAGTTGTTTGCATTTTTAGCTAATGTAATTTTAGAGGATGTGAACAGTTTCCGTTTAAAAATATCATAGCCAAATAAACATAAGTTAAAAACACGGAAAACTATGTATTTAAAATACAGGGCATACAATCATTAACTTTTAAAAATGGCTTGTTTTATGATTTTATATTAATTGTAAGCCTCCTCCGTAGCCAGTTTAATTGTAAGTCTCCTCCTTACTTGTGCATCAGCAAGTAAAAGGAAGAGTATTTAAAGAGACATCTCTTTAAATGCTGGAGCATGCCACCACTACAGCACAACTCAGGGAGGGAAGGGGAGGTATTGTGCTGTGGAGGCGGCATGCGCCAGCGAGTAAAAAGAAGGGTATTTAAAGAAACGTATGTCTTCTACAACGTAGCATGTAACCCAGTCAAAAATTGTAGAAACTAACCTGGGTGAGATGGGAGGAAAATAGTGGTGTGCTATCAGTATACTGGTGACATTTAATACTGTTATCTTGCCCACTAACCTAATATATATAGAGAGTGGAGAACAAGGTCCTATTCAAGCCACTTCAGTGACAAGTTACTACTCTAGAAATGTCCTGTAGGAATAAAATCCTAATATATATTTTTTCAAATCATGAGATATTTTATTTTTCTAGGTGGGTTCACTGACACTATTTGTCACCCATTATCCCCCAGTGTGTGAATTAGAAAGGGTCTATTCAAGTCAGACTGGAAATTACCACATGGCTTTTCTGGTAAATGAAGAGGATAATGAAGAAAAAAAGGGTATGATATCAAAATTACCTGATGGGTAGGTTCATTCTAGTAGTCCCTGAATGTTGTGGCTGATGATCTGAACTAATTTATCTAACATACACGATTGTATGTAAGGCTACCGAAGCTTTGATGCCTAAGGAACATTTGAGGAATGTACTTAGAACAGTAAAAAAACCTCTGTTTGGTAGTTAGTTGGAGAGCAAAATGTAAAAGGTTAATTAAAACAATTTTTTCCCTTTTTTTCCTAGCAACTGATCATGAAGAAAATCCTGGATTTGTCACTTTCCTTTATCAAATAACAAGAGAAGTTGCTGCAAGGAGTTATGGGATAAATGTTGCTAAACTAGCAGATGTTCCTGATGAAATTCTGAAAAAGGCAGCTCACAAATCAAAAGAGCTAGAAGGATTAATGAATATGAAAAGGTTAGAGAATAGCTTGATCTGCATCTTTGTTGGTAATGAAACTTTCAGATGAGGCTGAAGAATTTACAATCAAAACTTTGCCATTGAAATAGCAAATGTTATATTTATGGAGAAATATACTACCTGTTGGATCCAAGGACTCCCATTTATTGAGTAAAGAATCTACCTCTATCCTTTACTGGTTATGATCTATACTACTAAGATATTTTAAATGTGAATTAACAGTCTCTAAGTGGCTTTCTAACACAGATCTTTGTATTGCTTTTTAGGAAAAGGCTGATGTCATTTGCTAGACTATGGAATGCTAACGATGCTAGAGACCTGCAAAGATGGAAAAGTGTCTATGAAACAGAAATAGATTGAAACAACAGCGGAAATTATAATGCTTGCTGAGTTAAGAGTGAAATGACTTAGAATGTTTAGAATTTACCATACAAAGAATTTATAATGGTGACATTTGAGATTAACATAAACTAATGGGTGAATTTTAAGTGGTTAATGGCTGGTTCTCATGGTCATTTTTAAATCATGCGAACCATTTCCAGGGAAGCAATTATGTGGAACAGCAAACCATGTGAACTAATGATGCTTTTCACTTTCAAGTGGACATTCATACTCAGTTTAAATGGTATTTCTGCGATAGAATCATGTGCACATACAGGGGCAATTATGTTGAGAAAAATCTATAGCATGAGTGACCCTTTTGTTCAATTGTATTGGAAGCTTTGTGCTTCTCTTATTTATGGTTTTTTGAAAATCTTCTAATGTAATTTGGATGTTTTCGTTTAATGTACTTTCCCCCATATTTATTTCCAAGACAGACATAGGAATTTTCTTAAAATAAAACATGGCCTTTTGTAATTGCTGAAGTTAACTGTCAATATTTGCTGAAATCATGTTTGTCAATTACAGAAAAAAGATTTTCAAATTAAAAAGAATGGGTTAGATCCCACGGAATCCATGGTGGAGCTGATCCCTCCTCATCTTTCCATTTTCCCAGTAACTTGCTGCTTATGCCAAAAGTCCTCTCTGTGGATCAGAGGAGCATTGTGAACAAAATGTTCCACAGTACAAGGAGCTGTTTTGAGGATGGAAAATTGAGTTAAATTGCCTCTGCCGCCATCATTGATTTCTCCTTCCTCACTGTAGCTGCTTGAACTATCTTGGCCCTCCAAGAGGATTTTCAGGACAATCAGCAAGCTGCTGGAGAAGTGGCAGGGAGGAAAAGATCTGTTCACGAACGCCTTCCACAAGCTTTTTTGAAATATCCAACTTAACAGCTTTTTTAAAAATTGCACTTTGATTACTAAAGTGATTTATAAAGACAGAATAGTAATTGTTTCTATCTTAAATAAAACCAATGAAATAAAGAATAGAAATGTATTTATATGTGTTTTAGTTGATGCAGATGCTTTGTATTACCATATTTTTAATGATGTGCACATAGGTTCCTGGCTGACACTTTTATCTTTCTCAAAAAAGTCTTCTAGGATATAAAACTCCTTCTTTTTACTCCTGCCCATAAAGTATCAGTAAGAAAAAATGTAATTGCAGCTTCTGCTCATGAAAATGACTTTCCAGATGTAAGAACAACATGTGCATGTGAAGTTTGCCAAGAGCGGTGAGAATGGGAGTAATTTACAAGATGCAAGTGATTATCAAACAGACTGTGTATTGGTTATTTGAAACACCTGTTAAATACAGTAAAACTGGATGATAGATGCTTGTATTTTCAAAATTTCTGATGATTTTTTTTATAGAGAACATTGTTATAAAATGGTTCCCAAATGCACAGAATCCAAAGAGCTGTGGGTAGAGTTTCAGCGCCTAGGAACTTTTAGTAATGGTTTGGGGTTTCTGAGGCACGCTACTCTATTTCCTCTCCTCTTGAACTTATCTTGCCTAAAAAAAAGAAATAATAAAATTGGGGGCTCATCCTCTGCAGCATGCCTATTTACTAATTTTTTTCTTGTTGCAAATTGCTCTCACAATTTGATACAAAACAACAGCACAGCATATGAGCCTATATGTTATTGTCTACTCTAAGAATGCAATGATCTGATATAAATGAGTTAGTACACCATTATTGTAGGAATGGGCTTTATACCATTTGACTTTAGGAGATTACATTCATCTTCCATCTTCAGTGCAGCCCCACATTGGGACTGTACCCTTGCAGGCCAACGGTGGGCAGATTTTCTTCCAGCTGAAATGCCTGTGGAGGGGACACCCCTCTCCCTCCAGAGCTGACACTAATGGCTTTTTCCGCCCAAACAATCACATGCTCTGGAGGCAGGCGCCCCCTTTTCATCAGTTCCTTTTTTGCCACTGCGTGGATAGGAGCTTCCCAGCATAGCTGTTCCATTTTTCTACTGTGTACTTACCAAGCTTTGTGTTTTTTCAGCTCTCTGAGGGTCCTTCCCTCTTAGCTTCTTTTTCCAATAGTTTTTCCTCTACGACGGATCGTTTGTCCTGAGTGAGGTGACTCTCGTCGGCCTACCCTTGGGTTTCCTCGCCACTGTCAATTGTGGTGCCCAGCATGGTGTCCAACGTGTTTCAGAAAGTGTACAAAATGACCCACAGTGATGAGCATGAACTCTGTTCCAAATGTCTGGGAGAATCACATAATGTGGTCTCTTGCAAAAATTTCCTGGGCTTTAGGCCTAATTTACTAATTTTTTTCTTGTTGCAAATCGCTCTCACAAGTTGATACAAAACAACAGCACAGTACATGAGCCTATATGTTATTGTCTACTCTAAGAATGCAATGATCTGATATAAATGAGTTAGTACACCATTATTGTAGGAATGGGCTTTATACCATTTGACTTTAGGAGATTACATTCATCTTCCATCTTCAGTGCAGCCCCACATTGGGACTGTACCCTTGCAGGCCAACGGTGGGCAGATTTTCTTCCAGCTGAAATGCCTGTGGAGGGGACACCCCTCTCCCTCCAGAGCTGACACTAATGGCTTTTTCCGCCCAAACAATCACATGCTCTGGAGGCAGGCGCCCCCTTTTCATCAGTTCCTTTTTTGCCACTGCGTGGATAGGAGCTTCCCAGCATAGCTGTTCCATTTTTCTACTGTGTACTTACCAAGCTTTGTGTTTTTTCAGCTCTCTGAGGGTCCTTCCCTCTTAGCTTCTTTTTCCAATAGTTTTTCCTCTACGACGGATCGTTTGTCCTGAGTGAGGTGACTCTCGTCGGCCTACCCTTGGGTTTCCTCGCCACTGTCAATTGTGGTGCCCAGCATGGTGTCCAACGTGTTTCAGAAAGTGTACAAAATGACCCACAGTGATGAGCATGAACTCTGTTCCAAATGTCTGGGAGAATCACATAATGTGGTCTCTTGCAAAAATTTCCTGGGCTTTAGGCCTAAGGTATGTTCAGACAGAGCGTCCTGTTTGAAGGCTGTGCTATGGGAAAAAGCTCTTGTAAGCCTCGGGCCTGTCCAAGTTGGTTCTGGGATTGAAACCTCTGAAACCACCCTCCTCAACCTCATCGTTTCCAGCACCACGGTCCTGGCCCAGATCATTGTCTGTGTGATTAGTTGAAATGGCCCCAACGTCTAAACAAGCTTCATGCATGACTAAGCCTCTTCACTTACCCCTGCCGTGGAGCTTAGGCATCCTCAGTCCCCATTCCCATCTATCCCAGCCCATTCCTTGTTGGAACCACTGGCCAAGAGGCAGAAGGAAGCAAAGCATGAGGAGAAGGCTGGCTCCACTTTCAAACATCGTAGATGCCTGTCACCCTCACCAAGTCATTTCTCTAAGGAACAAGATGTTATCTTGGTGCCTCCGCACACCCCGTCGCGTTTCTGTCAGGATCCAAAGAGCAGAACTGCAATCTTCCAGCAGAGCAGCGAGTATGTTCTGAATAACCATGCCCTCATTGTGGCAAAAACCTGGTCCATCTCAGTGGCCCTCATGCTATGTCACCAGCTTATCTTCAAGTAAGAAAGTAGATGGGTCATAGTAAAAAACAACTAAGAATAGCAAATACCATGAGAATATGTGCAGAATATATACTTTAAGAAAATATATTTAAATAATTTCCAAATAAACTTTTTAAATTTTAAGTTACTTATAATAATTTAAGCAGACAGTTGTCTTAAAGAACAATGACAAAGAAAGTTTTTAATCAATGCTAAGTACAAACAAAACATGCAGCTCAAGTACAGTTACCCAAATAAGTGTTTGGACATCTAAGTGTGCAATAGTACAAACTTGTACATGAAAAAAATTCCAAAGACGTGCTTAAATATATAAAAATGAAACAATGTTGAACTCAAATTTATTTTGATGAAGATTCTGAATATTTTTGTTTTGAAGTATTCCTTCTTCAACGCCCAGGCCAAACCCTTGGACCTAGAAACACAAATTTCGGGGAGAGCATTCCTACCATGATGTAGGTGCTCACTACAAAAGGGGTAAAATGTACTCCCCCCATTGATTCCTATGCAGCTGCCAGGCTGCTACCTCCTTGCACCCCCACTCTCTGACTGGTCAGCTGCAGAGCTCAGCATTCTGAGGTATATAAAAAAATAGTTACAGGGGACTACAGAGAGCTAATGACAGTTGAGGAAATCAGGAATGGCCAACCACCTGTGAGGTGAAGCAAAGCTGCTGGCCCAGCCTCCCTGGGCTTCAAATATGCTTCCCCCTCCTACATGTGACAGGCAGTTGTCTGTCAGGTGCAGCAGCAGTTGCAGGGTGCTTAAAGCCACAAGGGAGCCTGCCCCAGCAGTAACGTCTTAGTTATCCTGCCGGTCCAGCCTCCGCAATGGCTTGCAATACTCCTCCCCCTCCTATAGTGGACAGACAGCTGCCTGTCAGGTGTAGGAGAGGGAGTGGGATGCTTACAGCTGTTGGGGAGGCCTGCTGGCCCAGCCTCCCCAATGCCTTTAAACACACTTCCCCCAACACCGGACAGGTGGGTGTCTGTCAGGTGTAGAAGCAGGGCCAGGGTACTTTATCAGGGAGGCCGCCTGAGCAGAAACACCTTAGGAATACTGCTGGGCCAGCCTCCCCAATGGCTTCAGACACACTCTTACCCACTCCTCCTTCACCTGACACACTGGGAAGGGTGCACACCACCCCAAAAACACCTCTGCCTGCTGCTACGTGAAGTCTGAGGCCCTACATCCTTTTCAGATCTGAAGACAGTGAATGGTGTCCTACACTCCACATTCCAGTCTACATGCAAGGCATTAGGTTTGCTGGAGGATGACAAGCACTGAGACACTACCTTGGAGGAAGCTGCCCTGTGTGATTCTCCCTTCAAGCTGCAGGAGCTCTTCACAGTAATGTTGGTGTTCTGTCAACTCCCCAACCCTCTTGAGTCTTTGGAAGAAATACAAATTTATTTTATTTATTTATTACTTTTGATTTGTATCCCACCTTGGCAGTCTCTCAGAGGACATCACATGGCAGGTGGAGAGGGAGTTGCAACACAGTGCACAGCAGGTGATGCATGAGGTTTACAACAAATGCCTGGTGCTGATTGAGGACACAGCATGGGCTTTGGGACAACAGGGCTTGCAACAGTATGGCCTGCCTCAGCCCACAAGATCTGGAGGAGTCTTGAGAAACAGGGACTACCTGAGGGAGGCCAACTATGACACTTACACCTTGGCACAAAAGGTGTTGAATAATGAGGATTCCCTAACAGGATTCACTAACAGATGAGCAGCTTGCTGTCTATCAGCAGGTCTTAAGCAGTGTTAAATTGGGCTGGTGGTCAGGTCTTTTTTCTCAATGCTCCTGGTGGAACAGGAAAGACCTTCCTCCTCAATTTGCTTCTGGCAAAGGTAAGGAGTGATCATGGCATCACCTTGGCTGTTGCATCCTCTGGCATTGCTGCTACACTGCTTGAGGGAGGCAAGACGGCCCACACAGCCTTCAAGCTGTCTCTCAACCTCATCCCCTGTGCAACATCTAAAAACAAAGCAACATGGCCCAAGTGTTGTGGGACTGTAAACTCATTGTTTAGGATGAGAGTACCATGGCGCACAAGGGGTATTTTGAGGCACTGAGCATAACCCTTACAGACCTTAGGGGCAGTGATGGGGGAAGTTACTGTGCTGCTGGCTGGAGAATTCTGACAGACTCTGCCAGTAGTCCCAAGAGGAACTGGAACCGATCAAGGGAACACATGTGTCAACGCATCGTACCTGTGGCCACTCATCAGGAAACTCTCACTAAGGATAAACACGAGAGTCCACCTGTGAGGCGATGTGTCCACT